CTTCAAATACAAATAATTGGGCTTTCTAGAGGCATTGTTATCTGACACTAGAAGAATAATGTACTTTCCCTACTTGGTAATGACTATTCAATAAGATAGAATTATTTTTAAAAACTATGGTTTGATACTAGTGTCCATAGACAAGGCACCACTTTGAAAAAGAGTATACAGACACAAATCTTTAAATGTTATCAAACCTCTTTTTATTAACAACAGCTTATGCATCGTTGTCTAAGTAATCCCTAACTCCATTCCTGAATATGAGTTAAATTGCCCAGAACCACAGTCTCACCACTGTGGACTCTGTCTGGTTCATACAGATTGTGCATGATTATTTCATATCAGATCTTTTCCTACATCTTTGGTCTCTTTGTTTACACCTATCCAGTTAAATAAAAGCCCTGTTTTTTTTTTTTTCAAAGATTCCTAGTTTTTGCTTGTGGAGGTGCAAATAAAAAGAAGATAAAGTTATATGCCAGCAACCTTATGCCATGAAAAAATTATTTCCCTTTTAGAAAAAGTTCCCACAACCCATCCTAGCCTCTGTGCATTTTCAGTTTTAAAAAATGTCCTATCTATCCTCATCCCAGCTCCAACTCAAAGTATTAGAAATGAGTTAGAATTTCCAGATTCCGTGTTATTAGACAACAGTGTTTAAAAATGGGTACAGTTTTAAAACTAAGAAATAATGTCCTTTATTTAAGTCTTTTTTGCCTACTTAAAAATGAGGTTTATAATTTTAGCAGAGATAGTGCTTGGATGACTGAAGGGATGATATTCCAGGTAGTATTAATATGGAAATTCCTCACAGTGGTATAAAATCATGATAGTAAATACCTAAAGATGGGAATTATTGAGTCATGCACTGAGAATAGAAAACCAGTTTTCCAATCTGGGAGCATGATAGAAGATTAGGACTTTTGAGGATAGGAGAATAAATTAGCAAAAGATCTTGAATTTATGATTAGGAAGTAAAGTTTGCAGAAGTGAATGATAAATAAAAATATTTTTCTATATTTTTAGCTAACTCTGCATTTCTTAGGCATTCTAGCCATTTCTCCCCATGAATATTAGAAAACTTCCTGATTTATATCCTGCACAAATGATTGGTATTTTTTGCCTTTGCTAAAAGTATTTTTTAGTTGTCAATGGATATTTTATTTATTTACTTATTTATATGCAATGCCAAGGATCAAACACAGGGCTTCACATATGCCAGGCAAGCGCTGTAGCACTGAGACAAAACCCCAGCACAAATGATCTGTTTTTATTTCCAATTTTCTAAGTGTGATATGGTGTTAAGCATCCCACAACCTTATTTGTGAGAAATCAATGCAACACAGTCAATGCTGCAAACCAGTTTACATCCTAAGGAGCCTCAGATGTAAAATTGATAAAATTTGAGTATTGAAAACCAAATTATTATAGTTTCTGGGAATGCATTAAACTAGGCACCTTGATTGATCTTCCTGATAAAAATTAATAGAAATGTAAAATGAAGTTATTTAAAATTTGTTTTAATTCACTGATAACCAAGAATATTAGTAAGGAATATTCATGGACCAAAATGTAACTGGAGGCAGAAACCCTAGGGGTAAGCCAAACACCAAGGCCAGTTTTCATCTGCAGACATCGGAAGCTTTGGTTTTTATGCCTTCAAAAATGCTGAGGGCCAATGTCAAATCCCAGGGCCTACCCAAGTTGGGATGCATAACAGAAAATAAAATCCAGGTACAGTATTGTCTATTTACAAAAGACTCATCTAAAACTAAGGGTAAGTAATGATTTGAAAAACAAGTGTCAGGGCTATATAAATGTCAGGGAACACAGTATTTCACAATAAATAGTAGTGCTACTGGGGATAGGAAATTGACATCTGGTACTGACAAGGACAGAAAGTAGGGAAAAGAGGAAAGTGTTTTGTTCTCCCTCTTGGGAAAACGATTCATTAAAATCTTTCTAAATATAAGATTATATAAAATACACACATGCTTTGACCCCGCAAAGCCTTTTTTTTTTTTTTTTTCATGATTTGTTTTCCCTTTCTTCTGCAAGATTCAGATAGGAGATTTTTTTATCAGATTAAGTATCAGGAAGCAGACAGCCCAGGCTCTATATTCAAGAAGGATTAGTTACAGGACCCCTGAGGTTATGAAAATTTGCAAATGTTGAAATTCTACATATAAAATGTATGTATACATTCTCTCATATACTTTAAAATCATCTCTAGATTACTTATAATATCTAATATAGCATAAATGCAACATAACTAGTTGTTATGCCATGTTGCTTAGGGAATAAGGACAAGGGAAAAAAGTTTGGACATGTTCAGTACAGACACAATATTTTTCTCTGAATATTTTTGGTTCTCAGTGGAATGTAGAGCCTACAGATATGGACAGCCAAGTGTATATGATCAGTGTAAAGTTTATAAATGTTAACATTGTAACCCATTACATGATAAAATGAAAAAAAAAACAATGATGCATGGTCAAGTGAAAGAAGAAAGCTCAATAATGAATGCAAGTAAGGGGAAATTGCAGAGTAAATATGTGATCATTTTAACCAATCTTGTTTGGTAGAAAATTTGTGTTCAGTTGGAAAACTAGCTTCTAGGAATATCTAGAATTATCCCTTCCAGCTTAGAGTAGAATTAAACACAAAACAAAAAAAAAAAAATAGACAACCAAAAGCTCCTCATGAACTTCTCTCAAAAAATCAGAATACTTTATAGTACTTTCTGGCCAGACCTGCTTTAGAACCTCAAAGAGGCTCAATGGCATAGCAGAAACAAAAAGCAGATGTGCATGATGTAGAACAAGAAATTCTTATCATGAGATCAAGACAGTCTTGAGGGATAATGTACCCACTTGCCCACACACAAAGATGAAATAGGAGCAAGCCTTGGTTCTGAGCTCCTGTGATCTGGAAGGTTTCCCATTCTGAGGGGGCTGATGAAACCCCAGAATTCTCACTAAGTCTTTGAGGGAATGAGAAGTCATAACTGCTTCTCTATTTTTCCCCCTTGCACCCCATTTCTCATACAGGTTTAAGTATGATCTTGTATAGAACTCGTTCACATCTTATTTGTTGATTTGAGTTAAAAGAAAGCAAAACTAACTTTAGCCAAGTCTAAGTTGGTATTGGTGGCCTGGTATCCACCATAAAGCTTTCAAAATATCACACTAATAAGTAACACGCATTTATYTTTAAAAACTAATATTTATAGATTTATTGGCACAATAATACTCATAAATGAAATAATGAAGTTACTATTTTCTATACATGATTCTTGAGAAGCTTAGAAATTGCATTCCATATTGTATTTAAGTAAAGTATTAAGAGGAAAAGAATAAAAAACTTGAAAATTTATAGTAAAATTACTATACAAAAGAGAAACATATGTTTATGGAAACATTATTGATGGCACAGTTTCACCAAAGCTCTACACATTTACTGTTAATTTACATAATGTCTTAGTGGAAAAAATATTCTATACATTTTCCTTATGCTAATATAGACAAAATTCTAGAGGTATTTATTTAGGTGTTATAAAATTCAGGGTAGGCAGAGGACAAGTTCAAATACAGAGTCAAAGATGCTCCCATGACTCCAAGAAATGATTTGAAAACAAAAGACAAAACAACATATATTGGGGCATGTGATGGCCCATGGAAACTGTCTTATCTGAGTACCAAAGAAAGGTCTATGGATGCATAATCAACTTATATGGTATCATTTGAAATGAACTGGATATCCCTCTTCCTTCCTGCCCTGTATCCCCAGCTCCCCTTAATCATCCAAATAAGTCAGTATGATATATATTGATTCAAGTCTTTGTGGAATATTTTGTATTTTGATACTGATTCATGTAATCATGAATTTATTAAGTTTACTACCTGTGTGTAGAGTGGTGTATTATTTGTTTTACTTTTGTTCTACCTTCTTTTTTTTGTTTTGATACTATCTTATTAAAAAAAAAATTGAGAAGCATGAAGCAGCACATATCAGATGAAGAGCTTTCCTTAAAATATGAAGATATGATAAAACTGGTTATAATATATGATGATCCTTTAAATATTTACATTAAAATGTGATTTAATTCAAATATGTACACCTTAATTCAAAATATACAATATAATTCTATAATTTTCCAAAGATTTATTAAAAATGCAAGTACACTGCTGAGGGCCATTGCCAAGTAGGAATGACGCATGGAAATTTCCTTGCCAGCGTACCCCATGTTAAATGGAAATTTGCTGTGACATTGCATGTGTCTTTGAGAAAGGTGACCCTGCTCAAGGACCAGGGTGGATCCAGGTTTAAGGTGTATCCTGCAGGTTTTAGGAAGTATCCCAGTTTAGGATAATTTGGGTTTAAGGCATTCCCGGTTTAAGACAATCTGGGTTTTAGGGAAGTTCCAGGTTGAAGGTTATTCCTGCTGGGAATGGGGCATTCCTGCTGCCTGAGTTCCCGTTGAGTTCTCGTGGAATTGAGAAAGTATTTGGGACGTAAATTGTGCAGGAGAACTTGGATTTCCCCAGAACGTGTTTGTACAGGGCCGGTGTGAGTTCGGGAATAAAGAATTGCTGTTTGAATCTACAAGGTGTGATGGCTCGTGATCTTGTGCCCAGCCAAGACTGCGGCAGTATACATACTGCAGTAACCTGGTATCTTCTCTTCTCTCCGGTGCCTCTGTGATTGCACATACCACTTCATTAAATGTGACTTCAAAAGTCAACCTTTGCCAGGTACAGTGGCACATGCCTGTAATCCCAGTGGCTCCGGAGGCTAAAGCAGAAGGATTGAAAGTTCAAGCCAGCCTCAGCAATTTAGTAAGGCCCTATGCAAGCCAGAGAGACCTTGTCTCTAAATGAAATGTTTTTTAAACAAAGATGGGGAGGAGAGCTGGAGCTGTGGTTCAGTGGTTAAGCACCACTGGGTTCAATACAGGGTACCAAAAAAAAAAAAAAAAAGAGTCAACCCTTGAGAGGCTTTGCACAAAGGTAAGGTTTAAGACAAAGAAGGCCAACTAGCTTCTTTGATAAACTGCCACATTCCCTTTCTAATAATCTAAGATTTGGTGATAAAGAATGGATTCATGATGTTTACCCTTCAAGTTTATATCAGATTTTCCATGAATGGTAAAAATTAAATGAACTAATTGAGGCTGAGTTGAAGATGGGGAGAGTGAGATCTTTATTTTTTTAATGGTTTAGCTCTTTCCTTGGAGGTAAAACTGGTTGGGTAAACTCCAGGACATTGAGCAAGGTTAAAAATTTTAAAATAACAGCATTAAAGCAACAAAACAGTGGCCCAGTGTAGGGCAGTGGAGAAGGCAACATCAAGCCTAAAAAATGACAGTTGTGTCCTTAAGCATCCGTGATCTCCACTTATACCCACTATTCAGATGTTCACTTTTAGATAAACAACTATACTGGCCACCCTCCACCCAACATCCTTCATTTGTCAACTGAATATGATAGCTGAGCAGCAGCTACGTTCCCCCTCCCCCATTTTCTGCTTCTTTATTTGATGTGGTTTTAGTTGTTTGTTTGTTTATTTGTTTTTAGATATACATGACAGACGGGTGTATTTTGACATATTATACAGACATGGAGGACAACCAATTTCAACTAGGATCCCATTCTTGTGGTTAAACTTGATGTGCAATTACACTAGTTGTATATTTATATATGAGCAAAAAAAAGTTACATCTGATTCTTTCTATTGTCTTTCCTATTTCCATCCCCCTTCCCTTCCCTTCATTCCCCTTTGATTTTTTTGAGACTCTCTACTGGTTAGATAAAATAGCCAGAACTCTGCCTTGAGCCTTGCAGCTGTTTTTCTTACTTAATTCGGAGGAAACCTGCATCTGCTGTTCTCTTTCTGTTGACCATTTAAATATTAACTAGTAGCCAGGTCCTCAGAGTGGGAAGATTCTTCTCCAGCCATTTAATATTTTTGGTTATGGTTTCCAGAACAATTTGAAAAATATCCAGATGTGATCCTTGGGCCGAAAGAGATTCAAAGAATTGTTTTACCTGAAAAATACAAATATGCAAAAAAAAAATTACTGGCATGGTTCATAAAAACACTATTTCTTTAAAGGATTTCAAAACAGCTGGCAAATTATACACACACAGGTGCAAGCATTTTTCCACCAAACTATAAAAGATTCTTTTCTTTTTTTCCCTTTTTTTTTTAGGCATAATGGTTATTTTCTTTAATTTTCAAACAATAAAGACAGAAAGGAATTATAGATCCATAGCTCAAAAATGAGGCCACTATGGGCAAAGAGGTTAAGTGACTAATTCACAGAAGTCACAGAGTAAATGGTGAGCTGGAATTTTAGTTCTGGAATTCTGAATTTGCTTAAGAGATATATTTAGTATTTCTTGTGAAAAGAAGATATAAAACACACAAATGCTTTTGAAAAGGACAATATTAACAATAGTAGTTTTGTTGAAAACACAAATAGGCACATTTCCACATTCTAATATGCATTCCTGATCATGATACAATACTGATGAAATAATAAAAAGGACTCATCTGTCAAGTGCATTTTCATTTTAAATGCTATGAACACATATTTCTTAAAATATGTCAGGTTCGAATTGCATCCCTTTTATTTGCTTGTTATGTAGCAATGGAAAAACAACTTTAAAAAATGATAATTTCAAATCAAGTTTTATTTAAATTTATTTTCAATCCTACAATCTGTACATTTATTGTTAGTAGAAGAAAGTCACAAACTTTACCTCTTGCAACTCATTCTTGGAAGAAAAGAAAGATGTTGTGCTAGAGATGATGGTTCTCATGGCAAATGAGCCCAAGTCAAATCTAAAAAAGAAAGGAACCTCACAGATATAAGTAATGGAAACACTGACCTTATGTTTATCATAGTATATATCATATTTAAAATATGAAATATCAACAACTATGTAACTTTGTATATTACATTAAACACTATTAATCACCATAAATATAACTCATATTCATTTGTTACAAGCCTGAAACTATGAAATTGACAAAATTCAACATAAAATAAAAATGTTGATCTGGCATCATTGCCAAATATGATTAGATTCTTTGAAAATGTTTATGTTTAAATTTATGTTTATATTTAAAGTAATCTTCTCTACAATTTTTGCTTATGTATCCCACAAATAAAAATTTTTGAGCAAGAATTTACACACACACACACACACACACACACACATATATATATATATATATATCACACACACACACACACATATGTAATTTTTAGTGCTGAGGCTCAAACCTAGTACATGTTAAGTAAGCGCTCCACCACTGAGCTATACCCCCAAGCCCCAATACACATATTTTAATTTGTGAATTACATGCATATATTATGGTATGATTAAAATATTTAAAATCATGATACAAGAAATAATGTAAAATATCTTTATAAAATTTATATTATGTATTATGTATAACTTTCATAATACATAATTTATAAATCTAATGTATCTTATATATTTTAATAGGTTATAATAAATGACATACAATTTAAAACATTAGATAAGAAATGATATATGTAGTAATTTTTTTTTTTTTGCAGTCTAATATGTTTGCACACTTCCCCATTCCATTTTGGACACCATTGTATTTAAATGTTTATTTGGTCAAATGTTTTTTGTTTGAACTCTCGTTTACAGTCACAGATTGCATCCTTCATTTCAGTTTTGTTTAGAGACAGGTCAAAGTGATTCATGCTGACACAGCCCAGCAGAGACAATGGCTCCAAGCCTAGGTACTACATATGGTTGGGCAGGAACACAATCTCGAGTTACAAAGGAAATCCACAGCATTGCAGAAAATGTCTGATCATTTCAGAGGAAGACTGACAATCATGCAAACAGCTAAACAATGGTTCTAGTAAAGTTTTTAAGGAAAAAAAAATTTAATATAGTTTCTGTTTGGTATCATGTGATGGATGGGTGTCTGCTCATTGAAGGTCCAGGGGAGAAGTGGAAATGTGTTTGGGGTTACACAAAGCTGTCTTTGAGGACTCTGAATCTTCCATCTCTAAGAAATGAGGGAGAAGAGGGAATTGGAGAAGCTACACTAGAGATACCAAGATTAAAATGAACAAAGCAAATGAAACAGCTCTCTGATTCAGGACATTTTCTATATAGGTCACAAGTGACATTTTGGGTTTGGATGGGAGGTTAAATGCCTTAGAAGAAGGTGTGTGTGTGTGTGTGTGTGTGTGTGTGTGTGAGAGAGAGAGAGAGAGAGAGAGAGAGAGAGAGAGAGAGAGAGAGAGAGAAGCAGGGTGTGGGGGCATTACAATGAAAAAAATTGCTCTTCTGAGAGATAATATTTAAGCCCAGGAACTGAGTCACAAGCTCTAGTTCTTTCAAACATTGTGAGGCCTCAGGAAAAAAAATCTGAACCAATATTGGAGGGGACTCCTGAAATACTTCTGTTTCTTTCAATTGCTTTGAGATCTTTCCACTGTACTACCTCCATGGTGAAACTAGAGGTATAGATTAGCTCTCATTAGAATTTCTGAGTTCTGCATTATCCAAACAGGTCAAATGCATGTAATGCTTCTATAAGCCTTCATTGGATTTATTTGAGGAAAGAACCAGGGTAGATGGGGAGATAACTAGATTTAACTCAACTTGTACTGCTCCCAGCAATTCTTTGCCTGGGATGAATGAGTGGAGTGTGTTTCTTGTTCTTTTATTTTCATTCCTCTCTTGTACACCTGTGCAGAATAACTTGAGTGAGTGAATTTTAAAGCCAATAGATTTCATTGAAAAATTTGAGTAGAGATGATCTTTTATATGCTTTTATATATACTTGGTTACATATGGTTTTAATTAAGAGACATCTGCATTAAGCTTATACAAATACTAACTTTTTTAGGAGATCAGTCCAATTTGCTCTTACAAAATTCCAGGCTAACTGCTGACCCTTTGGATTTCTGGCAATTGCATGAAGGAGAGCTGCCAAGTCTTGTGTCTTGATAACCTTTCCTTCCATTCCAAGCTCAATTAACCTAAAGAAATAAAAATCATTTGTTTTTTCATAGTAGATATTATGTACATGGAAATTAACTTAGGCTACCAATGCATTAAAATAACAGAAGAGAAAGAGACATGATAAAAGTACAATTTACGGTAATGAATTTTCTACAGGCTAATCTTATTAATGTTCCAATTAAACATTTACTTTTTTTTTACAGCAGTAACTTTATTTGGTCATTATTTTAAAGACTTTTATTAGCATCTTGTATACATCTTATATGCAAGATTGTTTTTTGCAATAATTTTCACCTAAAGTGCTGAAAGTAAAGCACACCATTTATCTAGCATCACATGATTAGTAATGAAAGAATCTGTTTACTATTCACATTTGTCAATATATATGTTTGAAAAGTAAAGTTAAAACCATTCAAATTTGGATTCAATTATTTTATACCTTTAAAATTAGTGGCTGCAATTTTAGTGACTTCAGTGAATTTGCTTCAGCTTACTTTTAACAGTTTAGTTGATGAACTTACTTTACCAGCTTTCCCTGATGCCTGCTCGTTGATAATGCATACAGAATTTTGTTTTTTTCAGCACTTGAAACTGACAGTTCATATTGCTCTAAAAGGTAATTCCATCCTGCTGTTGTCTGAGCACCCACAGAATATACAATCTTTAAAACATCTGTTGGAATACTGCAATATTAAGCACAGAAGTAAAGAAGAGAGTTTTATGAAAGAAAAGAAACATTATATTTTACAATTTATGTTACCATAACAGATTCACTCCTGAATTATTTCCAGTACTCAGAGTATTAAAACATTTTTTCTGTCAAATTTTATGAAAAGATTTTATGTAATTTTACTTTGCAGATTATTTATGTTCTATCTCCTACCATTGACAAAATATTAGCCAGCAGAATAAGTATACATTTTTTCTTTTTTTTTAAATATTTATTTATTTATTTTTAGTTATCGGTGGACACAACATCTCTGTTTGTATGTGGTGCTGAGGATCGAACCCAGGCCGCACGCATGTCAGGTGAGCGCGCTACCGCTTGAGCCACATCCCCAGCCCAAGTACACATTTTAACCAACCCTGAGATAGGGTGGAAAATAAAAAGTTGGTGAAAAACAATACAAATAAACAAAAAGGAATTTAAAAATGAAAACAAAAATAAAAAATAAAGTGGAATCAATAAAAAATAATTTCTGATATATAATACTGGTTATACAAATTCTATCATATTAACCTTTATTGGTGCTATATGGCTTTTTAAGAAATGACTATTTATACTTTAATTTCACCTTAAAAGCACTTTCTGATATCTGTCTGAGGGTCACTAGTCAGTTCTAAATTTAGAAAATTGTAATTCAGTACAATTGATTAGGGCCTTGGCATTTTACTGTTATAAAATATATAAAATGCAATGATATTATTTTTTGTCCTCCTAAAGAAGACACATGATTTAGGTTTTTATTGCTTTGTAGGGCATTAACCAGTGTTATTCTAAATTTTTATATAATTTTTATCCCCACATATAGATAGATCAACAGTAGCTGATAAATACATGGCTCAAAAAAACCCACAACATAGAGCAATAGGGAGGGGTGGGAAATTTGCATTTGTCATGAAGKGACCTCATGACAGATATTGTACTAGTTTCTGTATAACATTTAACTGTCAAAACTACCCAGTGAAATAGCTATTATCCTGAATTTTTAAAAGTGGAAATAATTCTTGGAAAGGTGACATAAYTAGCTATTTTGGAGGTAGGACTGAAATATTGCTTGTGCCAGTTTCTACTATATCAGGTTGTACATAAATATCCCAGGTGCCATCTAAAACATAAAATACTGATTAATTAAATTATAAACCATATTGCTTTGATTTTAGTGTATTTTAACTGACCATATTTTTGAAAACTAGTAGAAAACACATTAAAAATTTCTTGAAAATAAGGTACCTGGTTTTGTCACAACTTGTAATCCTTAGCTCCTATAGCAGTGCCTAACTGGCACATAAGAGAATTCACAAATAAACAATCAATTAATCTTTGTAACAAGATTCTTCACTAAGATTTATACTAAAGGTCATGGAGTTTGGGGGAAAAACCTACAATATTTAATTATATATTTTTTATTGTAAATATAAGCGAGCTTTACTCAGAATATTTTCACAGGTATGTTCAACATATGGACAACTCATATCTACTGTGGCTGGGTTAGTGTGCCAATTAGAGCATCACTGTCATAACCAGCAGAAAGGCAGAATAATAATATTCTGTTGCGTGACATTTACATTTTTATTTCACTCATACAACCCATTCAAACAAAAACAAAAAGAAGAAAATTACAAATCAAAGATATTTTTAGATTTTAGGCTTGAATCCAAACAAGAAGAAGAGTCCAAAATAAAGAAAACTTCAATTACGTTTCCTAAAAGAAGAATTAAAGGAAAGATTTCGAAAAGCTCACTGAGATTTAGTTATGGGGAAATAAATTATGATAGCATATTATAGCAATTTGATACAGGAACTTAAAAATAATATAGATTGTGTTGGATAGATATCAAAACTTACATAAAAAAGTATGTGGGGTCTAATGGTACCTATGAGAGTGAACACATTTTTATAAAAATTCACCTCCCCCTTTTCTGAGTTTCATCAAATGATCCCTGGTTTTAGATGCATGTATATTTTGTATTGTTCTTCCTAACATCATCTTATCACTTTTTGAGACTGGGCTCTCCCCATTTCTGTTCCTTGGTTACCTTTTAGTCACCATGCCAATGTATATTACTTCTCCCTCTCAGGGAGAGAAGCTTGCTTCCCACAAAATCTATTGAGCACTCACTACGTGGGAGCATGACAGGGTTTGTAATTCCCAGCATGTTTTTATTTTCTTTCTGTCCTAAAAGATTTTAGATCGAATGTCTTGCTTGATCAAAGACTTCTACATCAAAGGGAGAAGAACAAAGAGTAGGAAAGGGGAGTCTGGATCTACTTTAACTTTCCACTGGATTCCATCCACTGTGAGAAGAGCTCAGCGGCCTTCTGGATGCAGGGAGCATGGCCCAGGTCACAAGCCAGCCTCAGGAGCACCGAGCGAAGCATCCTGTCCCAGGCTGAGCCCTCGTCGCTCCAGCTTTGTCTGTCAATCATTTGCTTAAAATACCAGAGAAGGTAACGCTGCAGAAAACATGAGATTGTTTACAGAGAGGCTAAATTTAGTTGGTACCACAGCTCTTCCTCACCCACCTAAAAGGCTCAACTTTGAATTTTCTGAAAAACACAGAACTACTTATCTTCATATTTTGCTTATATTTCTTCCTCCCACCTACTACACCAATGAAATAGATTTTTGGCATTAGCAATGTGGCATTTTCTATCCGAGAAGGGATCATCAGTTGATCTAAGAGGGCACCGTCAATTAATAAAGAATCACCTTTAGTAGTAATATTTTGCCCAAAGAGTTGGCTTAAGAAAGAAAAGAGGGATGTCAATCATTAGGTGCTGGGGTTTGGCTGGGCTATCAGCCAGTGTCCTCAGCTTCTCCCTAATTTAACTCCTAGGAGGTCACACAAAATACACTGAGCCTTGTTGATTTTCCAGATACAGTGTATTTACTTAATACATTTTCTAAAAATAATACAAACCTTGAGATTTTCAGAGACGTCTGAAATATTCCTTCTGTCCATCATGTCGTATAACAATTCTAAATAACTCAGACCTTTAAGAAGTATAGGGCTGCTTGTTTCATGTTGGAGATAGCGAGTCAGGTTCAGGGCTTTGTCCAAGGTCAACCTTCCTGCACTGATGTATAAAGCAAATATGGGTAGTCTCATAGTTCTTAATATTTTTAATATTAAAGCAAGTATGAAACAGAAAGCAATTAACAGAAGCAGTTCACCATAACCAGACCATTAGATTTAAATTCTTGTGTTGATACTAAGGAGCTGTGTGATCTTGGACAAATTACCTAACCTTTCTGGATCTAAGCTGCCTCCGTTGTATGATGAGAATCAATAATAGTATCTTCCTCATAAGTTTATTGCAAGGATGGAGTTAAAATTTGAAAAAAAAAACACTTAGAATAATGCCTAGTCCATAGTGAGAAGATAACAAATGAAATACATATTAGCTAACATTAAGATTTAGTACAGAATAATGAACATTTTTACATTTTATGTCATTTTGTAATTGTTTCATTAGTGAGTCTCACTTGTTTCTTAAAGCAAATTGAGAACTTTTAGGACAGGTGCCATGTCTATTTCTTTTTTAAAAATTTGTCTTCATGGAACTGAGAGAAAAACCTGAATATATTCTCTAGTTTTGCTTATCTTTAATTACTTGGTTTTAGTTGACTTTAAAATCACCAATTTTTGAGGTCAGATAGCTGAACAATCAATTATTTTTTTATTGTTTGTGTGGGTTCTTTTTAATTATACATGACAGTGGAATCCATTTGAAATAATTATAATAGAATGAAATATGTCTTGTTCTAGCTCGGTCCCCAGTACCTTTTCTTCACCTTCCCTCCCCACAGTCCTTGCTCTTTTCCTCCTATTGATCTTTCTGTCATTTACCCATAGTTAGATTTTTTTAAATTAATGTTTTCTGGTTGTACTTTATGGTGAGATTCACTGTGGTATATTCATATATGTACGTAGGAAAGAGGTATTCTCTGTATATAGAGTGGAATATTCCACTCTAAGATTGACAATGATGCTTTCTGTTATAAATATGAGGTGTCGTCGCCCAAAAGCTTTTATTAATGTCAGAATATTTATAAGCAAATGATTAGATTGTGAGAGCTGTAACCTGATTGGTTCATTCTAGTTTCAATGAGCTGGGTAGTAGCTGTAGGCAGATAGGGCAGGCTAGAGAAAGTGGGTTACTTATGTCTACCCCTGAAGTGTTGTTCTTCCCATGGTTCCCCGTTTCTTTCCCTCTTTCCCCTCACTTTCCTCCTTGTTGCCACGAGTGAAGCAGTTTTTCTTTATCATGGCTTTCCTTCATGATGTTCTGCCACACCTTAAATCCAAAACAATGGAGTCAACCATCTATGAACTGAACTACTGAAACCATGAACAAAAACAAACTTTTACTCCTCCTCTGGGTTGTGCTTGTCAGGTACTCGGGTCACAGTGACACAAATGTAACTAAAATGGAAATTGATACTGAGAGTGGATWTATTGATTTGATGAACCTGACCAGGTGGTTCAAAAGACTTTGAAAGTGGCTAGTGGTAGTAATTTTGGGAAGTTTATAATTTCAGGCTGGAAAAGCTTTAGAATGTTTAAGAAGAGCTTAATGGGTGATTCTGGTGGGAGCTAAGAAAACCCGAATGCCAATGGGAATGTGTACTATGCTCGTGAAGTTTCAGAGTGAAATGAGGACTCTGTTGACATTCAACTAGAGGGCATTCATGTTGTATTCTGTCAAAGTACTTGTTTGTATTTTTTTATATATTTTTAATTGGTTGTTCACAACATTACAAAGCTCTTGACATATCATATTTCATACATTAGATTGAAGTGGGTTATGAACTCCCAATTTTTACCCCAAATGCAGATTGCAGAATCACGTCGGTTACACATCCACAATTTTACATAATGCCCTATTAGTATGTGAGGGAAGGGGAGGGGATATAGTAGGGGATAGGAAAGGTAGCAGAATACAACAGTTATGAACAATAAATTATTATTCTCTCACTAGCTTTTCTGTGGATAACATCTCAGATATATGGGTTTTATTTTAACGGATAKCCTGGTTACTTCTCAGGAACATTTTGTTGAAATGCCTCAGTTGGGCCTGCAACAGGGGTTTTATGGGTGACCTTTTGATGTCAAGAGGCTGAAAATTCAGCCTTCAGATCATGCTAACACTGCCATTTTCTGTACATTTGTCCCATGAAGAACTATGAAGATTGATAACGCATGTGCAGACCACCGATTGCTCTACCTCCAATCACCTCTCCCCACACCTCAGTCCACTCTGCTTCTTTATCCCTTCAACATCCATAAAGGTTATMCACTGGGAGAGGGATCTAAGACTTGGATCTCCCACATCCATAGTTGGCTTCCTTGCAAATAAACTCTTTTTCTTTGCAAAGCTCATTTCAATGATTTGCAGAGGGCAAAATGGAATGGGCTTGATAATAATTCTACCAGAAAAGTATTGATCATTGTGAATAGGACAAATAAGTGTTTTTATCTTACTTAGTTTCAAAAGTTACATGTCTTTTTACATTTTCTTGCAGTAGAAAAACAAGTAACTAGTATATTTTCTGAAGAGGAAATAAACCATTACATCCTCTGTCTTGGAAAGTGATTCTCAAGTGTGTTTCTGTGAGGCTATGATCCACACAAGGTCCTTAAGCAATTGTTGAGAGCATTCAACTCCCAGACTGCACACCATCACATGATGTGGAACATTCTAGAACAAAGGATTTCTCTGTTGCATATTTCATTAACATAATGCCCTACCTCCTTTGGTTTTGCAAATTTAAATTCATATTTTAAAAGAGAGAACAGAAGCTAGAAAGGAGTAAAAGTAAAAAGAGCCAAGTTCTGTTGTGGCCTTATTCTTCTTAATCATAATGATGTACAACTTTAAAACACATTTATGGAATTTTTTTCTAAAAATTTCATCTGAAGATAGAACACTGAACCATATGCTCTATGATTCTGAGATCTGCTGTATTTTGTAAGAAACAAATCCACAAAATGTCACCACTCCTTCCTACACGTATAGGTATCATCAGATATGTAGCAGTTGATATCTTAGCACCAGCAATAGGGGAAATGGCCTTCTAAGGTTGCAATTTAATGTTTACACATTAAAAACTAGTTTCTATGGTGCTTGATTTGTTGTTGTTTTTTTAAGCCTGGCTTAATTTATTTTTTACTAAAATTAATGCCATTATTAGAACTCTTCACTTTTTTATTTGCCCACTTTTCTTTATTTTAAAGTTAATATTTATTTATAATGAATCACTTTATATAGTTACTAAATTGTTTAATAACTATTAAACAATTACCTTTAAACTATTAAAGTCTTTACCTGCCTCATGCTTCATTCAATACAAAGGATGTTATCTGAATGTTTGTTTAGCATGAGGAATAAACATTTATCAAAGCATAGACTTCAGTCTAACAGGAAATATCTATATTTATTTATTTGCATTCAATTTCAGTTAGATGTGAAACAGTACCATATTCCTGAAGAGTCAATTCAGGATTTATTTTTGAGATGGAGTATTAAAGGAAAAAATACAACTTTTTTTTTTTTGGTAAGAAAAATACAGTTGCTGTTTTAATTCCATTCAACTCAGACAAGGTACATTTCAACAGAGCAAAAATCTAATTCAAAAAATATCCATTCCTGGAGTAAATTCTGTCTCAAAAGTAAACATGATCACTGTTGCTTCTTTTATCTCTAACATTGAAGCTTCATTAAGCAGGGAGGGCAGATTACATATATAATCTATATATAATTATATATATGTATGTATGTATATGTATATATATATAATCAAAAGGGAATAGCAAATAAGAATATTTAAGATCTGTTATGAGAGTTTTTAATTCTTTCCTCAYAGAGTTGGCCATCCATATCTATGGATTCTACATCTATGTATTCAACTGTGTATTTAGAATATTTGGGGGAAATTTTGCCTGCACTGACCATATACAAACTTTTTGTCACTATTTCTAAACAATACAGTGTAACAATTTTACACAGTATAGATATTATGAGTAATAGAGAGGTAATTTAAAGTTTACAGGAGTATGTGCATAGGTTATATGCAAATACTACACCATTTTATATAAGGGCCTTGAACAACTGCAAATTTTGGAATCAAGGGAGATCCAGAACCAGAAATCAGAAGGATGACTGTACTGTCATTGTAAAAGTATTATAGCAAATATAAACAAAGCACTTGGAAATTAGATGCAGAGGCAGAGGGGGACCCATAATTCACTACCCTGTACATTCACTCAGAGCATTTTGTAATAATTTCTTTGGTTTTTGTTTTACCCATTGACTTTTTTTTCTGTTTGCACATAATAATATACAAATTTACATTCTGCTTTTATCCAACTTCATATCATTTTTATGTTGTCAATTTCTCTCCTATTCAACACATTATGTTTTAAACAATTTCTATTAGGCAACCTCAATAATGTTAACAGATGACATTTACTGAGCAGGCACTGTACTTAATGTTTTACCTAATGCARTCCTCAAAATAATCCTGTATGTTAGGCATTATTATTAATGGAATTTAAAGTCTACAAAATTTAGGCTAAAAAGGGTAAATAATTTGCTCAAGTTGAGTTAACTAATAAGTGAAAATGTAGTAGTCATTTTATATTTCTGTTTTAATTCAAAACTTGGACTGTTGGTTTCACTAATCTGCCTACTAATGAAGAAAGGATTGTTTTTTCCACTAATGCATCAATAACTGTAGGTTTTTTCCTGCTAAGTTCAGACTACCAATAAGTTTTTAGGCTACAAACAGCAAAAGGAACTTTCCTACTACTTGAAAGATGGGATTTCATTTTCAGAGTTGTCCATATTCTTCATTTTTCCTAGTTTTAAATTTTTAATCTATCTTTTCTGCAATCTGTTCAGAGTTCTCTAAGAAGACAAAACTCCTTCAACTAGCAATACTCTACTTCTTAGCTAGCCTATCTGCACCTGCTCTTATACAGCAAGGAATTTTTCCTCATCTTGTCCTCAATGTGCTGTGATATCATGATGTTCCTGAGACTCTTAGGGCTCAGGATTAAGCCTCACTTTGCTTGCCTAACTGGGGGATTCTGTTATTCCAAGAAGCTTCACAGAAGAGATGTCCTGCTGGTAACTTTCATGCAATTTAATGTAAATAAGCATAGGAAAGGAAATAATAAGTCACATTGAATACAATGAGGATACTACAGAACAGTAATACTCCACCTGATCCTCATTACCCCCCCCCACCCATTGAAGACCTTGTAACCTGATTTATTCCAAATATGATTTTGTTGATGATAAATTGAAAAGGAAAGAAAAAAAACTTTGCATTTTCACAGTAGTCTAAAGAGGAATAAATGTAAACAGCCAATTCATCTTTCATTTCCCTATCAATCTCATATTGATTTCCACACTGCAAGTAAAATGCTGAATGGATTGTGCCCCAAGCTAACCATTCATTTACAGTCATAAAGGTTGGAAATATATTTATACATTTTCACTTTAAGAGATTACATTGGTATTTGGTATAACAGCTACTACCATAAACAAATTTACAATTTGAGTCAAAAGTTCAAGAGACCTGAAGACCTATTGTATCTGAGGGAAAACAGCCCACCATGTACCATTTGACACTTTGGTGCTTGAGATACCACAGATATGGCCTAAAGATAGATCATCCACTGCACACCCCTTATGTTTGTTTTGTAGAAATGAAGGTTCACAGTTGCCAACTCTAATTTTTAAAAAATACTCTAGAAGTCATACTTTTCATATAAAATTATACACATTTAAATATGTTGGATTAGATTTATAAACACTGGGTTGGCTAAAACCTATTTTCAGTGGGTGGGCTTAGACCTAGTAGCCAGTGTTTTACCTCCATTGAATTCTATATCATATGAATGATCAATATTGAACATTTCATTCAGAAATCTAGCATATCCKGTTACAGAACAATTATTTCCTATGTAATCAGATGAAATTTTGCATTACCTAACCAGCTGAAAGGCATCATGAATCAGACCTATTCTGTCCTTAGGCCTGAGAAGCGTATGGTTCTGGTTCAGCTGAGTAATCAGTTGGTCCCATCCATGCCCTTCATAATGAACCAGGTAGTAGCCATTTGAATCCACATTGAATTTTACCCAAGTGGTTTTTTCAGCTAAGTCCAGAGTATCTAAAAGAAAAAAATTGTCATAGGCATTTCATTATCAACATACATATCAGAAACTTCTCCAAAACTATTAGTTTAATAGTAACACTAATAAATCAATGAGAAGACAACATTTTGGAAGACACATGTTGATATTCATTTGCTTAGTCCCTTGAATGGTTTATTTGAAGAAGATGATCTTATTAAACTTATAAAAGTTAATTTACAGGAATAGTACTACTGAATTTGTTCTAAAAAACATAGTCTATCCAGGTATAATGGCATGCAAGAACCCAGTTAACCAGATGAGGGACATAATTGAAATCTAGCTTCCTTTATTTGTGTCTTGTCTCAAAGTTTAGTTCCTGGTCATTGAAATATGTATATAGATGTAAATTGGAGATCCATTCATCTAGTTCTTATTATGATGAAAAAAAAGAACTGGAGTTGCACATGATGTTATAATTGAAAAACTAAATGTTTATTGGCATTGAGAGGTGAAATTAAGATTATATATTTTTAATACAACATACATCTAGGTAGTAAAATTGCATTATAGGCCTTTCAACAGTATGTGAGGTCTAGTCCTCATTCAAAATTTGATGAAAAATTAGAGCTCAGGAGGAGTTAAGTTTCGGAAGATCACACATCTAATAAGTGACAGAGTGAAGATCTAAATCCAGGACCAATCCCAGAACAAATGCTTTTTCCCACTAACAGCCTGGCTTCATGCATTATTCATACAATGGATTAGTAGGTATTAAGGAACATAAGATAGGATTCCCTTATTTCTTGATATAAATTCAAACTAAAACTAATGTCAAAAGCAAAAGAGAGCTTACCACTGCATGAAAAATTCAGACTTTCTATCTGAAGGTAACTTTAATAAGAATTTATCAATAAATGAGAACTTCCCTCGAACATAAATCTTTTTTATTAGTCTTTTATTGATAGTATCTTTCCTCCAATAACTCAAAACATGTTTATTTTCAGCACTGAGACACCTATTTGGCTAATAAGTTTATTACCTGTCTTTGATTTTAGAATATGTCTATGAATCGTGTTCGAGGAACTCGTAGAGTAGGTCAGTGGGATGTGCCACAGGAACCTGTAGTGAAAAGTAGAGGGTTACAGAATAAATGGATGTTCATTCCAGTTTTCACTCGGTCAGACTCCACRGAGAGTAAAAAGCACCAAAGCACCCAGACCTCACTCCTATCAGTGGCCTTGTAAAATGTTCTGGCTATGACTATTGTATCCTTGGGATACAAAAATTTCTTTCATGATGATTATGTAGGAGCAGTGATATATACCAAGCTGAACTTTGCCACAAGTACCTGTTATTTGCTGTCCAAATCTCACACCATAACAAATTCTATTTTTTGTGAAAGAAAAAATTACCAATCTTCTTATATTTCCAAAATTTCTATCAGCCTGATGTTGATTCAAATAACTAAACTGAATCTGTAGGGAATCCTTAAGAGGTAAAAAAAATTCACTTCAGTCTGATTTTTCACTTATCCTCCTCTTCAACAGAATCATTTCCCTAATGCTAAGTGGCTGCAAGTCTGTGACCACCAATACTTCAGCCAGTGCAGGAAAGCTTAGCTCAGAGAACAGAAAAGCAGAGTGGATTCGAGGTCCAGGCCTATTACTTTCAATGGCCTTACCATAATAAATCACAGTAATTGACTATTTTCTAAACTAACTTTCTAGAAGCTTCTCGAGTTCATTTTCTTTCTTAGATCAAGACATCTTAGCTATAGTAATCCTACCCATGTAAAATCATGCACTTGATAACACCAATAGGTTATAAAACAGAAAGGGAATGCACAAATGGGAGGGGAAAAAAATCTACCAAACTGCACTATGTCCATGTATGAGTACTCCAAAGTGAATCCTGCTTAGATGTACTTATAATGCACTAATTAAAGTAATAATACTAATAGAAGGGAGATAGGTAGAGTTGAGCAAGTGGATTGGGGGAGAAAGGAAGGGGAGGAAAGGGAAGAGGGCAAGTACTGGGGAGTGAGATTGATCAAGTTATGTGTACGTATGAATATAGCATAATGAATCCTAATATTATATATAACTAAAATGCACCATTAAAAAATAAAAAAATAACAAACACCATGTAAAACGTAAATTTGAAAAAGGGAAACAACATATACTAGCTCTATCTAGTAAAGTTTCAGAAGAAACAGTTTACGTGTTAACCTAGAGAGCACAGATATTTAATAAGMAAATCTGACATATTTACCTGGAAAGGTAAAATGGGCCCATAAATATTGCTAAGAATTAATGGATTGGGACTCATGGATGGATTTTGGACATGGAGAAAGAAGAGCACTACTTGAGTTTGGATAACCATGAATCAGAGGGCAATCATTTTATAAGGATCATTTAAATTTGTTCCAGATGGAGGGAAAATACAAATTTCTCTCTCTCTCTCTCTCTCTCTCTCTCTCTCTGTGTGTGTGTGTGTGTGTGTGTGTGTGTGTGTGTGTGTATTTATTCTGGGTAATCCATAGTTTTCAACTCTCTCATGACATTTTGATAATTTGCAAAACAGTGACTCCTGCTTTTCTAGCATTGAATCAAACATTAAATTTCCCAAACTGTACTACTAAATTATAAGTTGCCTAAGCTCTGAGTTTCAGACTTRAGAAGAACACACAGAAAAAGAGAAAGATGTGCACACATAGAAACAGATGAGAATTGCTATGGATTTGATAATCCATACAATTATGGATACAACAAAAAAGAAAAAGAACACATATACTCTATGTGTTACAGACCTCCATTTGCTTTTCACTTTCAGAGAAATTATAGAATTATTAGGTGCATTCTGAGCAAAAAMAAATAATCATAAGAGCCAGCACAGTTTAATATAGATCATTTCATTTTAAACTTCATTTATCTTAAAGATAGGACTATAGATCAGAGAACTGTGGATGGTATTGTGTCACTTGATTTCAGTGATGCCTTTGACAAATTTTTGCAGGAAAGGCTGGTGAACAAGATGATAGTGTGGTTAATTGAATTTGCCTTCAGTATTACCAAGAATATAATGTTTTCAGACATTATATTTATAGATTATTGCTGAAAAATGAAAGTCAATAGAAGGCTTTACATCTAATTTATCACATAGGAATGTCATTTCTCTAATGATAAGAAGCATACCTGAGATAATCCTTCTTAGGTGTGGGCCAATCACTCCATTTGAGAGTGCCCAGAAATCAGTGTAACATAATAGAAACAAAACCAACCATTCTGCATCAGAACCAACGTTCTGAAAGCAGCATGGAACTTCTAAGAATGGAGTTGTTGAACAAAGCCATCTGGGCCACCTGAAGCTCTTTAAATCTGTTATCAAGGCTCTTTTAGGCCTGATTTCTATAAAGAAATTATATCCTGCAGAGCTACCAGAGGAGCTGGGAGAAAGTGAACAGAATAATGAGCAAACTGAGATGAGATAAACTAGATCCAAAAAGAAAATCAGCCACCTTTCCTGCAGGGCCCTCCATTCGGGGTCCTCTTTGAAAACTCCCTCCAGAAAGCGCTCCTGTTGTATGCTGAGTGAACACCCATCTTGTTTAACCACCACCAGGGGGATTCCTTTCTGGAGAGTCCATGTAGTCATCATCTCTTTGATCTTATTTTCCTCCAGAAAAGCAAGCTGAAATGACAAGAGACTTTGGTGACTCAAGAAGGAGGGGAGATTCCAAAAGGAGATCGGAAGCTTTCATCTCCATGGATGTCAGAAGCAAGGTTCAGGGAGGGAKATTAGCATGAGTCCTCTGCTGGTCTCCCAGTGCAGGGCAATCTAAGTCACTGGATTGGGGCAGGCCACCCCAGGTCCACCCTCTGCAGGTTTCCTGAGTGGGGGATACACAGGGGAGTTTGCAAGGCTAACTAGAAAAGCCAGCAAGGAAGCTATTGAGACTGGAGCRTCTCTCTTGTTCCCTTTTATAAAAACGAAAAGCAAAAATTCCCTCTCTGTTKTAATAACTGGAATCCAGGCAGAGAGGGTTAGAAGGGAAGTGTCTGTTTTTAGGGGAGTTTCAAATATTCCAACAGAGGTATACTGAATGGAGCATGGAACCTAACTTCTGTGCTTCTAATATGGATTTCTGATCAATGGGTGATGATGAAACTTTCCTTAGAAACAATGACTTACAGGATTACTATGACTCTTAAAAAGAAAAAAAAAAGAGAGAAAAGAAAAAAAAGTTTGCCTTTTTCTCCTTCTCCACAATGCATTTTTCTCCCTCCTGCTGCAGTACTTCTATAGCATCCAAAGGTAACAACAAAAAAAAAAAGTCTCAAGATAACCAGACAGACACTATTTCCAARCCTAGAAACATACTTGATTTGGCATTTTTTTTTTTAAAGACTAAGGGATGCCAGTGCAGTAACAACCACTCAAAAGAATTTTGAGCTATTTTTAGCAAGCAGTGTAGCTGTGGGAAAGCTGAATTAAGACAACAGAAATACTGTAATAATAGCATCAATGCCCTAAAAGGCCTGATCATTCCTCCTTCAGTCAGCTTTGTTTCCAGGAAAATTTTGGAGTCTCTCTCTCTTCCTCTCCAGTTATTTAAAGGAACAGATGGGCCATTTTTTATGCCCTACTCATTCCAGGTCAGGTGATGCACCAGATCTTTCTTCTTCTCTTTATACTTACTGTGTCACTTTTCACCTGGGAATCAGAATAACAAATTCCACCAGATGTAAAATCACCTTCTAAACAACTCTAGAACACAAGAAAAAACGCAGTCATTTAGGAACTGATTATTGGTGGCAATTGTGTATTAGATATGAGCAGATATTTATTATCATAGCTATGTGAAAATATAATGCATCTCAACACCTTAATGAACATGAAAATGAAAAACAGGTATYTTTGTAGTGATCAAATGATAGAAATACACACAAGTTATTATTTTGTGTTTTGTGTGTGTGTGTATGTGTGTAAAGTTTCCAAAAATGTTCAATGTGGTCAATAACCATTTTAAGAAAGGGCACACACACAAAATAAATAAAAATGAAAATAAAATGAGATAATGCACATGAAAGTGTTTTTAAACTACACAATGCTATGCAAATATCTAGCAAATTTGTTACTGTCCCTAGGATACAAATGCTTATAAAAATGAGAAGAGTTCTTCGCCTAACATGGTTAGATTCTTCTATCTATAGGCACAAATTCTCCCAGTTCAACTATTCTATAAAAATTGTTTTCTTTGAAGTAGAAATGTAAAAATATTTTAATAAATATTAGAATAATCTGAGCTGTGTTCTGCTTYGTCTTTTCTGAGTCCCAAAGACAAAGAGATGATGAGTTATTTAATCAATTGTTAACTTTATTAATCACTATTCTATCAACAATATTCTATGTGCCATAGCATTGAAAAAATAGGCATTATTCATGTTCTTAAGCAAATTATTATTATTATTTCCAAATCCATATACACCAATAAAAGACAGCATCATTTTGTGGAACAGTTCATAAATGCATTCAACAAAGAGGTAAACTAGTGAGCACTGGAATAATCCATAGAAGGAGGCAGGCAATTCCCAGATGGATCTTAAAAGCTGCATAGCATTTAAATTATTGAAAAAAGGAAAGGGTATTTGAGGTTGCAAGKACACTAGAAACAAAGGCACAACAATGCAAGAATCAAGCAGGAGTTCATCTAATATGGGAAAATATTAGTTTTATGCAACAAAAAAGTGCATGTTGGAGAATAAAGTTGAATAGGTAGAATTCAAACTTAAAAGTTGGCCAAGAAAAGTAGGTGTTACATGTCAGGGATTGCAAAGCTATCAAATATTTGGAAAGAAAGGAGATAAAAGTGAAGGAAGGGAAACCAATGACAGCAAGGTCAAACAGTGAATCCATCTCAGGGTGACATCCTGGTCTAGTGTGTTGCCAGAGAAAATAGAAAGGAGCTGCCTTCTAGAGAAACTGACCTGGCAAGTAGGAGAAATGTCGTTGACTGACAACACAGCTACTTATAAACTTTTGTGATTATCCTATAACTTTTTAGACTTAACAGTCTACTGTAATTCAACATAGGACTTACATTTGACAGACTGCCCCACAAGTCATCATTCTTAGCATTTCTATAGCTGAACTTCTTTAAGTAGTGAATTATGCCTTCCTGGAATTTCTCCTCACCCAGGAAATCCTTGAGCATATTCAAAATGCAAGCTCCCTTTAAAAAGAAAAAAAAAAGCAGAAAGAAAACAGATAAAGGAAAAGGTAGTATGATATGCTTTTTAAAATAAGCTTAAATTTTATGGAACATGTGATGTCCAAAAAATTAATAGAAAATAAAAAAATGAAACAGGTAGCTGTAGCCAAGTACTAATGGCTTAAACTGTTGACTTTACAGTTACTCTATTTCTTCTGAAAGAAGAACTTCTACCTGCACACAACATTTTCTACCTTGTTATAAGAAACTGCATCAAACATTTCCTGTATCTGAGTAGGAGTTTCTGCTGGTTTGGAGATGGGACGAGATGAATTCAATGAATCTCTTGTGATTACTTCATAACACACATTGAAAAAGTAGTCATCCTAAATAGGAGAGAAAACTTTTAGGTTTTAGTTGGCACTCTAAAGGCAATATAAAAACACATTTAGTTTAGTAAGATGTTGTTAGAGATAAAAATTTGATCAATATTTCTTCTAAGATGCTTCTTTCTCTTTATTTATATTCCCCTTTTGCCAATTCTCTACTTTAAAATGGTACAAATACAACATTCCCTCAGACATTGCCTGAATGTTTACCATGTACCAAGTCCTTGAGTACAGAAATAAAAATAATTGTTTCTATTTAGTGAATATTTCCTGTGTACTAGGACCATCATCTGCAATCCTTTCAAAATCCCTGCAAGGTAGAGGCATTATATGCATTTTACTAGTGAGAATCTGTTAAGTGTCGAGATTAATGTACTGAATCAGTGTGTAGGAAAAAACAAGAAGACCCTGACTTTGAATCCACATGTACTGGGCTAAATGTCAACCCCCAAAGAGCTGATTAAACATTACTGGGGCTAGAGGTGTGGCTCACTGGTAGCATGCTCCTCTGGCATGTGTGAGGCACTGGGTTTGATCCTCAGCACCACATAAAAATAAATTAATTAAATAAAGGTATTATGTCCATCTACAACTAAAAAAATATTTAAACAAACAAACAAACAAACAAAAAGACATTACTAACCATCTCAAGATGTGGACTTGGAAAATGATCAGGCCACTACATTTATTTAAAATAAAGGATAAGCTTGCTGCATACTGTGGTGCCCACCTATAATCCCAGCAACTCAGGAGGATCACAAGTTTAAGGCCATCCTTGGCAATTTAGTGAGACTCTGTCTCAAAATAAAAATTGGAAAGATTTGGGGGTGTAGCTCAGTAGTTAAAACAACAAAACAACAACAACAATAAAACCACAGGTTTGTTCCCCTGCACTAAAAAATGCTTAAATTAATAAAATTTTAAAAAGTAAGAGACAAGTCATTTTCTTCAAAGGACTTGAATAAAGTTCTTTGCACACATTGGGGAAGCCAGCAGGCCCTTTGGAAATGCTACAGGAATGTGACCCAATTGTGTCCAATTCAGGTGATGTGCTAAGAACTCTGCATAGTACACAGTAGCCATGGCAGTGCTGTTCAAGTATACTGACAGTGATATTTTCCAATGTATGTTTGCATTACCTTGCTGTATATTTATGCTAGCTTGCTTTCTCTGTATGCTCCATTTGGGGGGAGATTTTTATGCTAATTGTTTTCTAAAATATTCAATGTTTCATCCAGATCTGTGAACTGTTTTATGTATCAAAAACCCTGTGATCATAAAATACATTGCTAGGTAGTTTTTAATATTCACTCAAAACTTTAGTACTAARTCAATGAATCTTTAGGGCATATGGCATGACACACAAAATTATGAACTTACAAATTGCAGTTCTGGATATGTAGCATTGACAGAGATAAGTTCCATGTAATTTGCAAAACCCTCATTAAGCCAGATATCATTCCACCATTCCATTGTAACCAGGTTTCCAAACCACTAGGAAGTAAAAACTCAATGTTACTAGAATTCAAATAATATYGAAAAAAATTTAACTGTAGCAAAATAYACCAYAGCTGCTAACTTTTCAAAATCATTSCTAATTAAGGCCTCTCCCTCATCTTTGCTGCCCTTTTCTTTCTGCATAATTTACTTCTACTGATTTTCCTGACTTTTTGTTCTCACCACCATGTTTTTTGTTTGTTTCCTCTTTCTTGATTTTGTATCCTCCTTGACCATAATGTTCTTGCTTCTGTTCTATCCACTGAACATTTCTTAGCTCAGATTTAATATTGAGGAAGAAAAGGAAACTTTTTTTTTAGGGGTAGTTTTTCTTTCTTGAACAATAAGAATAATCTCCTGTCTTTGATTTAAGATAATAGCCACAGGAGAAAAATGAGCCAAAATGTCCTTGGTGAGGTCATCCTTTTATATTAAGGAGTAGGTACTTAAGAAAATCAWAAGAATTAATTTAGAACTCTCAGATTATTATAAAAAAATACTGATGATCAAATTTAGTCATTAACTTCTGACCCTGACATCTAAGGATTAATTTGGCCACCCAAAAGAATTAAATTCTAAGATTTAAGATGCACATTTAAATAAAAATGAAAGATAAAAATAATCTAAATAGAGATTTATCTTTGACCAAGATTTCATCTGTATCATGAATTTTAAATATTTGTCTTTCACATTTTATTGTGTTTTTTATGTATTTAGCCTATATGCCCAATACTGTGCTTCTCATATATGTATTTTAGGATTGAAATCTCCAGATAAACCAGAAGCTTAACCAATAAGATTCTAAGACTTAGAAACGCCTTGTTATAGTTATGATACAGAAAACTCTAGGTCTTCAGCCTCTCGAAATCTTCAGCTCTACTTCTTTTGTGACAACTCTCAGATCATTTTGCAAGTGGACATAAATCTTTCTAAGGTCATTTGTGGGAAGGGACAGAAAGTTTCCCTCAATTAATTGTTGAATATGGAAAGCACAGATTGGACTGAATCTGATAACTTCACCAGCGAAAGTAGTTTATCCATTCATTCAACAAATACCTACTGAGAATCTACTGTATCTCAGGCACCATGCCATATATCAGAAATACAAATATATATATAATGTAGCCACTGCCTTAATATAAATAMTGGAGGTCAACCAGTAGACAAATGCAACAAAGTGTTATTGGTGCTAAGATCCATTAATGTCTTTGCTAGGGGCAGAAAAGATTCCAGGAGAAAATAACCAGTTCTTTGAGGAGAACATGTAGGGCACTTAGAAAATGACTTATTTCCTGAGATTTTCAAGTAGTCCTTAGGTGTGCTGGTGTATCAAATTGCAGGAACAAAGGTGTAAGGGGGTGTTCAGGAAATAACAAGTAGTCTAGGATGGCTAAAGCTTCAGGGGTAGATAAAAAATGAAGCTGGAGAGCTGGAAGGAGGCTGGTTCATGGAGGCCTTACATGCCATGCTAGGAACCCAACTAGCTTTGGAGAATCCTTTGCCATGGTTATACACMAGGATGACATGATGACATGGTCATCATTGGACAGACAAAATAATCAAAGCAAAAATTCAAATGCTGTCTGCTGCTTCAGCCCTAGACTCTGTAACTCTGTGAAAAAGAAGCTGTTAAAGGAAGGCCCAGAGGGAGGGAGCATCAAACCTCAAAGGCAGAGCTCTCAGACCATTTCCCCACAAACATTGAACAGAAATAGAACTCTCTGGACCCAGTTAAGTGCTTTAGAGCTCTCAGCGACTTATGATTGAAATACCTAAAATGGTCAGTGGGGAGATTCTGAACCAGAGGAAGCAGCATACATGTTCTCAAAGTACAGTGCTGAAAGCATGGATCCCTGTGTAATGGCGATTGAGTACCTAGTTCAAAGCTACTCAATACATTGTTATTATGTGGGTAATGAAGTTAAAAATTTTTTAGAGAAGAGATTTTACCAACTTCTACAATAAAATGATATCTGCCCATGTGGTCAAAGTGAACTTCCAATGTTATTAATAATTTACTGTATTAGAGTGTTTAGAAATAAAATAGAGTGGAAAATAAAATAGAGTGGAAATGATCTCTGATAACTATAGACTAGTTTTACAGTTCCATACTGGTTGTAATACTTATTTTTCAGAGGTAGTATTAATGGTTATTGTCTTCRTTAGTGACACATTGAGTGYTTAACAATATRATGGGCGCAGACACCTTCTTTATCTATGATATTCACAACAGTTTTATGAAGCAGGAACTATGGTTAACTTTATTTCATACATTAGCTCATGAGTAATTTACTTGAGCTACTTCATTATGGCCATACAACCACAGGATCTAACTGAAGGGAGATTGATTTGGTCCTACATTGCAATGCCAGGAAACCATAAGAAATATTTTGAAAGAAGTTTTTATAAGGTTACTAATTCTGTGCTCTGTGTGTCTGCATGATTCTCACCCYTTTCCCCAAAGGACATTTAAGGGCTTTTCCTTGAAGAGTTTTGAAAGATAAATTTAGTGGTCACTCTGTGATAAAACTCTAGTATAAGCCCTACAGTCAAAGGCTGAGTCCTCTGCTATTTGACACATTGTGCTGTCCCTAATAACCACTGAGTTCCCCTCTATAAGGAAAATGCTGATTTTATGTTGTTTCAGGAATATTGGTCGTGATCTGTATGATGCTCTTTATAGTTTGATACAAGAAAATATCATGAGTGTGACCTACCTGGTGTGCTAGTTCATGGGCTATGACTTTTGTGATCCACATTTTATCAGAAACAGAAGAAGTTCTGGGATCAAAGAGCAATGATGTCTCTCTATATGTAATAAGGCCCCAATTTTCCATAGCTCCAGGCCCAAAGTCCGGAATAGCAACTAAATCTAKGACAGAATAATAACAATACTTGATCATTATGGCTTCCTCACTGAAGTAGAATTTTCTCTCTGCCCATACACACCATGATCTTTCAGTGAGTATATACAATTTTCTAAAAATATATATATAAAAAAAATCTTAACATTGATTTGGTGTCTTGTAGTTGCATTGAAAACAATCAGTATCCATTAACATACATTTTTGTATGTTAATACAAAATAAACTCTCCCCATACATTTTTGTGGCTAAAGTAACTTACTGACCCTTGACCATTTTTTTTCCCCTGAAAGTGCCAAACTCTGAAAAAAATTTAGGTGCATTTCTGCCAAGAAAATGATTTATTTAAAAAATACCCACAGTTTGTTTTATATTAGCAGTATTTAAAATCTTTAAAACTAAAAGKCATCAGCCGGGTGCAATGACACACTCCTATAATCCCAACAGCTTGGGAAGTTTTGGCAGGAGGATCACGAGTTCAAAGCCAGCCTCAGTATAGCAAGACCCTAAGCAACTCAGGGAGACCCTGTCTCTAAATAAAATATTTTTAAAAAGGACTGGGGATATGGTTCAGTGGTTAAGCACCTCTAGTGCTTTTTCCCAGTGCCAAAAATAAATAAATAAGTAGCATCAAATAATTTCTAGTCATGTTTGAGATTCACAAAAAATGAACTCATTCTTAAAAAAGAACTTTCAATCCTCCTGCCTCAGCCTCCCAAGTCACTGGGATTGTGGGCATGCACTACTACACCTGGTTACTTAACAGTTTTAATGTGCTTTGCACATTATAAAAATGTTTGYTTGTTTATTTATTTTTGGTATTGGGAATTGCTCAGGGTGCTTTATCAGTGAGCATATCCCTAGTAAAGCACTGAACTCTATCCCTAGGTGTTTTTTTTTTTAATTTATTTTTTAACTTTGAAGCTGGGTCTTACTAAGTTATTTAGGCTGGCCTTGAACTTGCCCTCAGCCTTTTGAGCTGCTGTGATTATTGCCATGTGTCTGGCTGCAACTTTTATTTTTTAAGATAGGAAATTAAATCCAAGGTAGACTATGAGTATCATCCCATGTAAAGACCAGCTAGTACACCCAAATTAAATTTTCTGTTCTTCCCAATTTTAAAAATTTGTGCCATAGTCTTATCTTTTAATTTCAGTGACCAATATGGATAATATTTAGAAGGACAGTGTTTAGCTCTTTGGTTACATAAACCTTTGACAGCTTTTAGAAAAGAGAGCTGATCTTATACAAATACAGTATAGATAATGCTCCAGAAAAATCATGCAATTCTAATATGCAATTAATATTTTAATATTAAACCTGATGAAGTAATAGAAAAATGATCCACTCTACTTGGGGTTCTCATAAGTACTATATTTTCTTTTATTCTTTTTTAAAATTTCTTGGAGGTTTTCTTTCTTTTTCTTTTTCCTCTAATATTTTGGGGCATTAAAGTTATACCTAATAGTGGGATTTGTTTTTACCTATTTGTACATACACATAACATAATTTGGTCAATTTAATTCCCCAGTATTATACTTTCTATGTTCAAGGAACATCTCTGGAAAACACATTTTTCCTTCCTGGGCTAACTGAATCTCTTCAATGTTCATATAAACAGGGATGAAATCAAAGCAAGTTCTATGAGCAAATATAAAGGCAATGATGTAGAATATGAACATACCCAGTTTGGGGAGTGGATAGTTGATATCAAAGTACTTTTCATAAAAATCAAGTAGCTTCAGTGATGCTTGCAAAGCATAATGCATTTGATTCCATTTGTCTGGGGATGCATAGATGGACACCTGGGAAATGTGGATCAGAAATGGTCTTTTAGTGACAGCTCTTGGTTACAACTCCATTTCTGACAACTCTTACCCACAGAAAGACAGACTGAATTTTTCAAGAAAGTATTAAGATACCTTTAGCATGGTGTCAATAAGATATAAGGGGTTCTATGAAGTATTGAGACAAAAGTCAGTTTTGAAAATTATAAATAACCCTGTATTTTCTGTTACAACCAACTCCCTGAGTGTTGATTTGTAAATTATTAGCTATATTAACCCATTATGAGAACCCACTTGAGTATATCATATCAGTGATGGTATACTCTGGCACTTGAAACCAATATTCCAAAATTATGGTCATAAGTAAAACATAGATACTATTGCTATGTGGAAAAACCTTTAAGAATTTATAGATTCCACCCCCATCCCCTGTCTAGCTTGTTTTAAGCTAAGAAATGTTCAAGTATATTCAATAACTCCCCCMAAGTAACTAGCAGTTAAATAGAAAAAAACAAAATTAGATTCCAGTTTTCTTAGCTTCCAAGTATAGAGCTAAAGGGCTATTTCCATTTCATGATCTGTTTTCATGCTCTGAATTAACTGAAGTCCCTCAGAACTTTCATGCAGGGGATATTCAAATATTTACCAATTTTTTTAAACAGTTTACCAGGCATTCTACTAAATGCTTACAAGTAAAATCTAACTTAATAATCATACACACACCTCCTGTGAAGGACATGCTATTATCTTTATTTTACAGATGAAACAARGGAAACAAAATACATGGAGGTTAAGTGCCATGTTACAAATCACACAGGTAGAAAGTTGTAGAGCTAAGCTGTGAATCCAAGAAAGGTGATAGAAACATGTCCCTCTAAAGTGAAGTGCCACCTGACTGCCACCCCCAGCAACACCCACATCTACACACATATATATCTATGTTCAGAGGTGCTTTGATATGTATGCAGACACATAACTCATAATACATATCTACATAAGCATGTGTGTATGTAAGCTATAATAGCAATTTTAGACCCATTTTTCATAAGTATTATTTTATGGTTCTTTGAAGATRTTTTCACATCTATAATTTGGTTCCTCATGGCAGAAAGTTCTTTTTTATTTCTATAGTGTCTCTACTGATGTTAGCAAAAATGTAACTGCAAGATAATTATTGGGCATTCTGGTAAATTTTTGCAAGTAATTAAGACTCTAAAAATAATGAAGATCTCCTTTTATTGAGAAAAAAATTATAGAAAACAAGTAGGAAAATAGGAATGCCCTAAGATAAGATGTTGATTTTTAAAATCTTCATGAAATTATTAACATAATATTTTAGAAAAATGTTTAATGGCATTTAATTTTTATGTTATATTTTGGTAAAAATTCTGTAAAAGACAGCTGTAATGTATTATTTTACAAAAGTGTACATATATATTTGAAAAAAATATACATACATAAATATATACAGTATGTAGTGTTACTATGTACACAGAAATATACTTATGTACATACAGAAAATATWTGGAAAGCTTAAATTATGATTATGAGTAGTTGTGTCTTGGTGATAAGATAAATGAACATTTTTAATTTAATTTTTAACCTATTCTACTGTTAAAATAAGAAAAAATACTTTAATGATAAGGGGAGAAGCCTAAGAAAATAATTAAAAGCTCATTGCTTTCAGGATACTGTTATGCACTGGGTATGAAATTAGAAGTTAATCTCACCTTGACCCCTGATRAGGTTGTGCCACTCACAGAGTTGAAATCACAAACTATATAGGCTACAAGGTAGGTACTCATTTTCACAGTAGTTGCAAAGTGGTCTTCTAAGAGGCCTCCTTGAAGTTCAATTGTTTTAACCTACAGCAAAGGAAAGGAATCAATATTTGAGAACTGGATATTTCATGACCAYGCCTGACTTATGGCAGGAGAGTTAGAGGGAAGCCTGACACTCTGAAGGATCCTCGATGCCTTTCTAGGAGATCAAGGAACTCTTTTTACTTTCTGCGGCCTCTTGTAGTTGCTCTATTTCTTTAATCCTCTTGAAAACACAATGCAGTGCTTTTGGGATCACAAAATGATGCCCCTTACATTTGTATTTGTGTGTGTGTGTGTGTGTGTGTGTGTGTGTGTGTGTATAATTCTTATATATAAAATCTTAGATGCTTCTACATTCTTAAAATGGAATAACCACCAGCATTGGCATCGATTCAAGTTCTGGGGTTCTAAGCACAAATGCCAGAGAATGACCCCTTTCCCTTTGTTGCATAATAAATAAACCTTTGCAGTGCAAGGAAATGGGAGGCAAAACTGTGCTAGATACTTTACATTATCTTTTAATCCTCTTATGTGGGTGTGAGGTAGGTGTTATTTCACAGGTGAGGAAGCAGAGGCTCAGGAATGTTAACTGAATTGCTGAGATCACACGACTAGTTTCACAACAAGACCAAAATATGGATGTGACCCTGTGATTCCAAAGATGCTGCTCATTCTTTCTTTTTCTGCATGACAGCTGAGTCATAATCTTATTTTATCTTTGCTTCATTGATTCAGCAATGAAAGCAGTCAGGCCAAGAAGGTCATTAGTAATTTAAGCTTCTGTCCATCTACCGGGAAGCAGAAGGTTTTCAGCCTGTGGACTGGTCAGCTGCATCCATTAAATTCACCGAGAAATTACTAAATTTTGCCTTTGCTTAGTCTGAGTGGCTTGTGCCAGAGATAGTCTGTACCATGTTATGCACACTGGATACAGATCCAATCATCTGAAAATTCCACTTTCTTCAAATTTGTCAAAATGTAAAATTTTCCTGACCCACCTCTAGCCCTTTTTAAGAAGTCAGGCTGTTAACAGCCCTGACCATGGTTTATTAAGCATATTTTATTTGTTGGATAAGATTACAGCTTGCTTCAACCAGAGAACATAGCTTGAAGGATTACAATAAACTGTTTGGAATACTACAACAGCAAATGTTTGTGGTTTTAAAATGTACAGATTTCTATTGAAAAAAATGTATTTCTGAGTTTCARTAAAACAGAAGATACTGATCAAATATTCTAAGTAAGTTAGAATTTTATTTTGGCTGTATTTTTTTAACTCTATGCAGCCAATTAATTTTGCCCCAAAATGATCTCTTTGAGGAATTTGATTCAGTTAGTGTTCTATGAATCCCCACCAAAGGAACTGTCTTAAGTGGAGGACAACGGGCAGGTAGCACTGTGGACTTCTGCAAATGTCAAGACCATTAAGCCTTGGATGTTTGGATGGGTTATGAGAAGAGGTGGTGAATCCGTGGGACTATGAGAAAATGAGAGTCTGGACCACTTGAAAGCTGGTGGCCAAGATGATCAAGAGGTAGATACGTATTTGCCCTGATTTCTGCCTCCAGAGAGACAGTCCATGAAAGCCAAGTTTTGCATGGGAGTCTGGAGTGACCCATGAGGATTAGCATTTCCTTAAATAGAAGTGCATGGGATATTCACGTAAGTTCTTCCAGAATGGTGATGTAAGCTCCAATTATAAAGCACTCATTGCTAGACAAGAATTTAGCTAGTTTCTCAGTGCCAGAAGAACTGTACTTRCATAGTAAATATCACAGCAGGTATGTTTTCCCTTAAGGTGGAAAAGAGCCAAGGAAATGCCCCAAGGTATGCTGCCAACTAGTGCTTGGGTGGCCCCTACTTCCCTTAAATATTTTATTCTCAGTTAAACAGATTGAGAATTTCATGTGTGTTGCTTCATCTCATYGGACCACAACTCATCTTATTTGTTACAACTATTATCCAGAGAGTATAAAAGACTGGATAGGGCAACAAAAAAGTAAGTTATACTAGTATTCACTGTAAAGAACATGAACCAGAGCTGCTTCAGCCAACTGAGCCAATGCAGAGATTCAAGGATTGGATGAGATATTTTCACAGTGTTGGCTGATTTTTTTTTTTTTTTTAAATCCAGGGGCACTTAACCACTGAGCTACATCCTTAGCTTTTGTGTGTGTGTGTGTGTGTGTGTGTGTGTGTGTTATTTATTTACAGAGTTTCACTGAGTTGCTTAGGGCCTCGATAAGCTGCTGAGGCTGGTTTTGAACTCACTATTCTCCTGCCCCATTCTCCTGAGCTGCAGGGATTGCAGGCGTGCGCCACAGTGCCTGGCTGATTTTTCTTAAATAGGAGAAGTTACCAGAGGTTTCTAAAGATATCCAACATTCTAATATAATAACAGTARTGTCAATTTTTGTTTGCATAATATTTTAATGAACAGTCCTACTTTACCCTCCATATGAAAAATTATATTAATAAAAAGCTCACAGGAAAGAGACGGAATGACATATTGCCTTTAAATGAACATGCTGTTGGAAAGAAGCCTCAGAGCTAAGGTAGCAGATCATCAGTACTGAAAATGAAAGAGCAAATTAAACTTCTGTCTGTTTGATCATGGAAAAATTGAAGCGTATGTGTCACCTGCAGTTTGCACATTTTTCCTCAGTCTTCCCTGCTAATATTTCAGAGAAAATGTGTTTTCCAGCATTAAAATGAAATCTGAGGAAATGCAGTGTCAGAGCACAGTCTCTTTTCTCTCTTGCATCTGCAGAGGCCAGGCCCTCTTTAGAGCAGAGTGGAAAACAACTATAACGGCCATTTGATGGCTGCTGGTAACCAAGGCTGCTTTTTGTGCAGTCTACCATTTGAAAGCACCACTGAGAGGGCCTCTTTTTATCCTACTTTCCAAGCATCAATGGGGAAATATTTTACATTTTGTTCAACAGCACAAATGGCAAGCATATCATTAGTGAGGAAATATCAAATGAGGCTCTGGGACTATTGTGTCCTTCAGGGTCTCTGTATTCTGAGTATAATTCAGAATAATTCAAGCCCCCCCCCAAGAATCCAATGTTCTCTTTCAATTAAAAAACGTGCACAACCACAAAAAATAGCTTTCATAAATAATTTTAAGAACTACTTTCAACATTTAAATAAAAATGGATAAGGGATTGTAAGTGTTATTACAGATTACCAGTCAAAATTTTCCAGAATGAGGCCTGAAAAGGTCCTTTAGGCCCTTGCCCACAGCAGTTGCAAAGCAGGGAATTGTTATAAAAGCAGAATTTTGGGCCTCACCCCAAGGCCTACTGAATCTGAATTTACATTTTCACAAGATATTTGAACAATTCATGTTAACACTAATGTCTCAGGAGTGCTGTTCTAGGTRATTCTGAATTTTGTCACTGATTTAGGAGAACACTGTTTCCACGTGAATTCAAATAAAATATAAATCTCTTTGGGGGAAAAGAAGCTTTTTATGTAGAAATACCCCCAAACAAAATGTCTCAAGGGGTTAGGAAAATTATAAAATATTTAGATGGATGAAAACAAACCAATGGCTTATATCCGGAAAACAAGGAAAAAAATTTTAAACAAAGACAGAGACACAATTGAGAACAATCCCCAAAGTTCCTCAAAATGGCAATACCTTTGGCATGTTGGATAGTGCGATGTGTCTGCTCTCTCTTCTTATCTTGATTGAAAAGTTGGCTTTGAACAATGGTTCATCAAAGCAAGGAAAAGCCATACGTGCCTGGGTTGGCTGAAAATCTGTTACTGCAATTATTCTGTGAAAAGATCCCCCAGTCAGAAGACACAAGTGAAACCAAAAATAAATTAGTTCATACCTTCAGCAAACAGTTTACTAAAACTAGAGATGCTRTATTTGATTTCTCAAACTATAATCTTAGTGAATCCAGATTTTCCCTCTTTGAAGAAAACAAGGGTAAAATCTTATTCAGTGTCTCTGCCAATCATGATTAATGCACACTCTTGAGCACTCCCCATTATTTCCTTCACACTTGTGTCACACAAGGATATTGAGGCTCACAGAATTCGAGTAAACTATACCAGGATCCTTAGCAAATCAGTCTCACGCCCAGTTAAACTGGCCTCAAAATTGAATAGGAAATTAGTAGTTCAGTTACTGTCTTGGAGCCTGAGGAGGCTTCAATAAAATGTGCGAATAATTATATWGATGAGTGATGTCTTAGGTTGTGCTTCCAGGAAGGGAATCCCAAATTACTAAGAATATGCTGTCAAGATGAGGCAGTAAGAGAAGAGGAAAAGCTTGCAAGGTGYGGTATTAGGCAAAGTCCCAGCCTCAGCCTTATTCCCAGAGAGCTCTGGGATGGAAACTATACCTTCAAGTTGCTCTCACTGAAGGCAAGGAGATGGGCTCTCATATTCTTGTATCACCATTGGTTAAGGCTCTCCATGTGGCACCAAAGTCCCCATTTCTAAATCTATCTGCTGGCTAGCAAAGCTCCTCCAGTTTTCAAATTGTAATAAGTCATAGACAGTCTAACAAACCCTGTATTTCAACAATTCAGTAATACCTGAAATTGTGTAATTACAAATTTATTGCTTGCATTTTAAATTTCAACTAAGCAGTAAGCCTGGGGAGCCGATTTTGGCCGAAGAGAAGGGAATAATAAAAAAACTCAAGTGTTTGATAAAGGACAAGGGGGCCATGGGGAGAACAGAGGGGCTATRGAGATAATTTTACCTCAGCTTCTTTTATTTTTCTGATTCTGGTTGGGGAAATGAGGTTAGGAATGTAAATGATTTACTCAGAGCCTCAAGTTTTCATTTGAATTCTATAGCAGGTATTGCAAATGTAAAGGAATTCCAAGCATTTGAAATAATTTTCACTAATGTGAAATTTGGGTTCTATTAAGTCTACATTTGGAAAAGCAAGGAAAACAAAACAAACAAATAAACAAAAACACACACAAAACCCCCTGAACCTTTRCTATTACACAATTACTTTTAACTCCACATGCATAGTAGTAATTTCCTGCTTCTCAAAAGAATGATTGTCTCCTGAATTTTTTTTGTGTGTGTATATGTGTGTATGTGAGTGTGTGCAAAGAAAAAGAGAGTCAGGGAGAGAGGGAAAGAGAGAATGTGTTCTCTCAGATTCAATCGACACTGTGTAGCATATTATCCCACATGTTGATCTTTTAGATGACTGAGTATGAACAGCCCTGACTCATTAATTATAAGAGGACTCAGATATAGCCTTCAATTAATGATGAAAGGTGTGCTGGAAAGTCCTCTACTCTTACTTCAGATATGTACCCCTGTAGTCTTCTACATTTCCAAAAATATTATCCCTAAAATGTATGACCTTTGAATGGACCACTTTTTACTTAAAGAAATAAATAAAACAAAACAAACAAACAAAACACCACTGGTTTATATGGTGCCTTAGTGACAAGGAGTTGATATGTTTCATTTCTAGTACTCTGCTGGGCCTGAGCACAGGTCCCTGCCAACTCAACTATATTCATCTCAATCCCCAGATAYGCTTTCTTGTTATTGTATCACTTTGTCTTATTTTCTTCATAGTAGCTATCATTTACCTTGCCCCTTTTATTTATTTTCTTGTCCCCATAGTCTCTTTGACCAACTCTTACTACTGTKCTTTCAAGGTCCGTAGCCTTGACTGACACACAGTATGTGTTCTRTGAATGTGAGATGATCAAGTAGACCCTATTTCTTAGTTCTCCAAACAGATTTCTCCTTTGCCACTGCCTCCTGGGTTTGAATGATACTATGTCCTGCCAATGTGCACTTTCCCACTTCCTCTTTTCCAGTCCAAACCTCACATCTCCTTCTGGTGTTGACTCACCTTCTCTGGGAAGCTGTGCCTATTTCAGCCCTCTCTGTGGGGTCTGTTCCTTCCCCTAGCATATAAGTATGTTTGTCTTATCAGTCTTACACTGGCCTCTCCTTGAATTGCCTTATTTTCCCTCCAGCTGTTTATGCCTCTGTATCCTGTCTTCCCATTCCCACTGTACTTAAGAAATAGTATAGTTTATTCCTCTTCCAAGTTCCCCACAGTGTGTTGGGTTTCTTATAAATGATTGCTGAAGCACACTACTGACAAAGAAATGTAAGCCACAAAGAAAGTATGACAAGAGACTGTAATGACTGATAAGATCTTACCTTGTTTCACCAYGTAGAGTTCTGTAGGTGCTTTTATAAAACCCTTCAAAGCCATTAGCTAACTTGCCCTGAAAGTCAATAGCTACATAGTATCTCAGGTCAGCCATAAGTTTCTCTGGAACCARTAGTGCAATTTGCTCATGAGCAGGATAACTCAAAACTTGAAGCTTTTGCCCTGGTTTCTTATSTCTTAAATCTTCCTCTGACTGAAGGGTGGCATTCATGATTTCAAGATCTTTGCARTGCAAGATGATAAATTGGGTGGTATCTCTGACCAAAATCTCAATCATCTCAGATGCAACAAAGTCCAGAGAAGTGAGATTTGGGTGGACAAAAAGGTCATAGTGGAGAGGAATGACACTGTTTGGGAGCCTTAGCTGATACCAAGGAAATGGCTCCCCATTGGTGGCTACTGYGAAAGCCCCAGGGTCCTCACTGGAYTGATAACTAGATGATACTGAGAACTGAGAACAAATGCATAGTTTGGGCAGGATTACKTCTGAGCAGCAAAATCCTATGTAAATATTAAATAATAGTTTTCTCTGTGAATTAATCATTGCTGAAGAGTGGAATATTAAATCTATTCTTTAAAATACAAGCTAACATTCAGGGTAAATCTCATAGTTCTTCATCACACTTGGCCTCAGTTACATCATCCAAGATCCAAACAATGTTTCAAATAGATAGATTTAATCTAGAAGAAAAAAAAAGACACTTAAAACACGAAGAAAAAAATTTCAATTCACAAAAACTTAAAAGCATAAAAAGATATGCATGGATGTGAAAGACTATTCTATCAGAAACAAGCCAAATATCCATTAAATAAAGTAGAAATTAAGCAATCATCTGATTATTATAAACAAAAGTCATTTTAGGCTCAAATAAAAGGACCCTTCCTTAAAATTGCACATATTGGATCCCCTCTGCATTCCTGAGCAATGAGCAGAGGACAGGAGTGTAAATTCATTGATTGTTAATACTAATAACATTTTTTTACATCATCTTAAGAGTATGCCTGAATGCCTAAAAATAAATTGAGCAGGATGTCTCTATCTTGCCTTAAAAAGTAGTCACAAAGAATTCTGTATAGGGCTGGGGATGTGGCTTAAGCGGTAGCATGCTCGCCTGGCATGTGTGTGGCCCGGGTTCGATCCTCAGCACCACATACAAACAAAGATGTGTCCACCGATAACTAAAAAAAAATTAAAAAATAAAATTCTCTCTCTCTCTCTCTCTCTCTCTCTCTCTCTCTCTTTTAAAAAAAGAATTCTGTATAATTTTTATACCAGATATTAATTTTATTATTAATGGTATTGAACTAATCTCTTTTCATAAATAATATCATCTCAATGATTTTACTCTATGGCTACTGATAAAAAGGATGCAATAGCTTTCCATTACTTTTTAAAATGCAAATTAAGCTGAATTCACTGCTTCTGTAAATACAACTAAAGTAGTTTCTTCATATYAGAAAACAAAATTAGAACAAAAAGTTTAGTTAATTTAGGCAGTTCATCTCTGCTCCCCRACCTGCCACTTGCCTCTATTTGCCTTTCCTTGCTCTAACTTAATCTCACAAATTGTTTTTTTGATTAATCATTAACAAGTACTTCAGAATTAATTATCCAAATAATGATTTCAATTTTCCAACTTTCAATGTTAATACAGATCAAAGGGTATATTAAAGGAAAAAAAGAATAAAAAATGGATAAATAATGATGCTTCTCTTTCCCTCTTAAGAAAAACRTTAAATTATAGTTACTAAGAACCTCTGATGAATAAAATAATTGGTTTATTATTTTGAATTTCTGAGGATTTTACAAAATAGAATGGCTTATTTATTATACTGCWCTTTGGAACCACAGCACCCAGATTCCAACAGGAGCTTCACTTAAMCTACCCTGTATGGTAGATGTTCTGACTTTTCAAACATTCATTTCCTCATCTATCAGACAATGCAATGATTATATCCCCTTATGTGAGGAGAATTAAACTAACTAAGCCATGTGAAGAATTTGGCATAGCACAACTATTAGCATATAGGGAATATGCCTGAATTCCAGATAGTGAATTACTGCTGTGGTTATTGTAATTTGCATTTGTTGGCTTATATGAAGGACTACTCTGCTTCTCTTTAGCACACCCTACCAGAGAAGTGTTTTTTTTTTTTTTTAAACTAATGAGAGTGAAGAGAAAGGCCTTGACATTTCCTCAGATAGTCTCTAATGTTAATCTGGCAAGGATTTTAAAGGCCAGCTACTGCAAGTTCTTAATGTCCAGATAAAGAAACTGAGGGTGAGTGACTGTCCCAAAATCACACAAGAAGTTTGAGGCTAACTCAGGACTAAAATACACTTTTCTGGCCCTCAGTATAGTGAACTTTGCATTACGCTGCTTTGTACTTTAAGGAACATTGCAACAGACAAAATATTCAAAGATTGAAACTGTAAGAATTACAAGGAACACATGGGAAATGTTTTTTTTTTTTTTTTTTTTTAAATCCCTGAAAAGGAGTGAGTCAGTTCAGCAGAAAGTCTTAAATCAAGTCCCATCCCCAAGTGCACTCTTTCCACTAAAGCAGTATCAGATTCACCCTCTTTCCCCAGTCTCGGCTCAGATGACAAACCCCCCACCCCCAATATGACAGATTTCTATCTTCAGGTAAGACCACTATTCTCACTGAAAATCTKTGATTTAAAGAAAAACCCAAGAACAATGTTGATAAATTACCTTGATTCACGCTGCTGCAGATTTGAATGGAGGACACTTTATTATTGCTTTCACTTTCTCTTCTAAGATTCAAAACTTTGCATACTTCCTGATTACAGGGCTAACTAGTTCATTATCATGTAGGTACGAATGAAGCATAAGACAAAAAGTTCATTCCACAAAGCACAAAAACTTTCTGCAGAATGTACCAATAAGAGACTTCGGAGTACAAGCCAGTTGGTAAGGTAGGATCTAATTCTAGTATTTTCAATGGCTGTTGCTCCTGCAATTTTGTTTTCCTCATATCCTTATTTCAGAACTTTCAGAACCTATTCATGTTTGTTTTTAGTAATAAGTTATTTTAAGCTAAGATATTGAATTCCACTCTGTGCTGTGTACCTGGTTATATGAAATATTACCTCTGTCCATCTACCCACAACAAAGTTAACTCCAGGGTTGTCATTAGCTCCCCGTCAGCTTCTAAGGCCTTTATCATAGGTGATCATCCTTGGCTTTTCCATGTCTAACCTCTTGTGTCTTGATCACAGAGATCTCTTGGATCTCTCTTTTTTTTCCTCTCTGTTTTTTATTCTATTTTATTTATTGCTGTATATGACAGCAGATTGCAATTTAAATCATATTACACAAATAGAGCAYAATTTTTCATGTCTCTGGTTGTATACAAATTAGAGTCACACCATTCGTATTTTCATACATGTACTTAGGGGAATGATGTCTGTCTCATTTCACCATATTTCCTACCCCCAAACCCCTTCCCTTCTACTAMCTCCCCTTTACCATATGAAAAGTTCATCTATTCCTCCCACGCTGCCCACCCCCATCCCCATTATGAATTGGCATCACTATATCAGAGAAAACATTTGGCATTTGGTTTTGGGGGATTGTCTTAACTTCACTTAGCATTATATTCTCCAACTTTATCCATTTACCTG